TACAGGCTTTGAGGAAGAAAATTATATCTGTATCTATTAAAATACAAAATCTACATACCCTTTGATACAGCAATTCCACTTCCAGATATCTAGTCTTAGAAATACTTAGACACACTCAAGGAGCATGGATAAGGATGCTTGCTGTGGGTGTTGTCCTGGGGGTGAAAAGGAGGAGCTCAGCCTGAGTCCTGCAGCCACTGGGTGGACATGGGGCTGGCTGTCATGAAAGGTGAGGTTCGGGCAGTGATAGAGGGTGCAGGGCCCCCAGAAAGCTCAGTGCAGGTCCTTCTCCTTTGGGCTGGGGCAGAAGGAGCCAGGGAGGCTTCCTGGAGAAGGTGGTACCTAAGTAAATTTTTTTTAAAGAGAAGGGGTCTCACTATATTGTCCAGGCTGGTCTCAAACTCCTGGGCTCAAGCAATTCTCCCACCTCAGCCTCCCAAAGTGCTGAGATTATAGGTATGAGCCACCACTCCTGCCAAGTAAGTCTTAAAAAGGTGAGTAGACGTTAGCTCCTGACAAGTAAGTGGGAAGGAGGACATCCTAGGACAAAGACAACACTCATGCAAAGGCTCAGAGGCAAGAGAGAACGCGGCTTGCTCAGAAAACAGGGAGTGGTTTGGTATCGCCAGTTTTAGGTGTGAGACGCACCACGGTGAGAGATGAGGCTGGAGCAGTGGGTAGGAGCTGATGTTGGTTTTCATCCCTTGGTAAGGACAGGTCCCAGGAGTGGGGTGACAAATCAGAGCAGCAACTTAGGGACAGCCTGCCAAACTGTGGTATGCGGGTGTGGAGAGAGGAGGGCCGAGGACAGGAGGACGCCTGGTCGGTGGGTGGCAGTGACTGCGCTGGGAGGGGGAGGCAGGGGTGAGTGGGTGACTGCGATGGGAGGGGGAGGCAGGGGTGAGTGGGTGACTGAGATGGGAGGGGGAGGCAGGGGTGAGTGGGTGACTGCGATGGGAGGGGGAGGCAGGGGTGAGTGGGGAACGTAAGACACCAGGCAGCTGCATGAGGGGGCGCTGTGGATGACTCTCTGGGTTGGAGGCTACTGACACCATTTGCTGGCATGGTGGCTACACAGGAGGGCAGGTGGCCGGATGCCCTCTCCATTTAATGGGGTTGCCTGTTAATCCACCATGGGGTGGGTGAACGGGGCCCACGGCCTTACAGCGCTTGCAGGGTTAGGGTTCACATCACCACCTGCCGAGGGGTGGCCACGGGCCGCTAGCAACTATCCCATTGCCTTTAGCACCCGAGTGTGGTGCTCTCCACATGTCTCCATGCCCCCTCCCCACAGGAGCCCCTATAGCATATGGACTGGGGGCTGATGGGCAGCCTGAGCAGGAGAGTCTCAGAGGGACTCCCAGGGCGATTCCAGGGACCCTAGGCATGGGCCCAGGGACCCTGGGGAGTCCTTCAGGACACATCTAGCATTCCCTTTGACCAGAAGCAAATTTCCCTGGGTCAGGAAACTCGCTCAACAGCCTGCTCAACAGTTGGGGTTCCCAAGACTCAAAGTTTCCCTGTGCCAGTGTTTCACAGGGCTCTGGGGACGCAGGTGGAGCCACATCCAGTTAGGTCAGGAACTGGTGCATCCAGGCATCAACTGCCTGGGATAGACTCGCACTGGCCTGAGGTCTGGACAGCAACCCCAGGGGTCCCTGACTGATGTCCAATGCTAGGGGCTTCTCGGGGCCTGGGAGGGGGATGAGAAGGGCAGGGCACTCTCAGGGGCCAGGTGGCAGTGGTTCGCCCACCAGCCAGCACTCAAGCATTCACTGCTTTAACTATGAGTCACATCCAGTGGTGACATCAGAGGTCTCCATCCACACCCTGGGGGGAAGGGGGTGTCCCCAAAAGACAGGCTTCATTTCCCAGCACACAAGCACAGCACAGGGGTGGAGCGCCTGCCGTCCCATCTGTGTGTCATCCCCACACCTCCTCAAATCATGCCTCAGGTTTGCATTCCCTGGGGGCATCTGGAAAGCCCACTTAGTGATCCAGGCACCGCTTCTTCTCGGTCTCAGACTGACCCCTAGGGGACAGCTAAGACACAGCAGGGCGCCGAGGGCCGGGCCTGAGAAATTCGGACCTGCCCCGTCTGGCCCACTCTGACACCTCATCTGCAGAGCTGTGGTCTTGACCCTGCTACTACAGGAGCCTGAGCCAGGAAGGGGACTCATTCACAACCCAGAAGCCGTCCGCTCGGTCAGGCTGGTCTTCGGATTGTGCCCCCTTCCTCTCCCTGTCAACACGCAGGAGCCCATGGTCGGAAACGGAGCCCAGGTCAACCAAGCAGCCCCAGCGAGTATAATGAACAAGGCTGCCACTGTGTCCCCACCGACTGCCATCTCACTAGGCTGTGGTCGCCCAAGCCGGGGCCAGGCCTCCATGGAGGGCAGAAAGCAGTTCACCCACGAGAAGCTTAAAACCCAAAGCAACAAACACCTATAGGCTTGCAAAGTCCCATGAACAAATGAGGAGAAGCACCAGGCTTGCTGAGCTAGGCTGATGCGGTCTTTCTTTCTACTTTCCCATAACCTCTAGACTTTGGAGGAAAACAGTATCAGTTTACAAAAAAGAGTACCTTGGCGGAGGTCCGCTCTTCTGTGCCCCCTGCTCACCTTTTCTCCACGTGCCATCTTTTCCAGAGGTGTGAATGGCAGAATGTGGGGGCCACAAAAGCAGCCAAAGACTGCAGGGAACACGCCATCCCTACCCGCACTCCCCACCCACCCTAGGCCTCGGCTCCACTCTGCCCTGCAGTTCTTGGGGCAGGGCTTTACTTTGACATAATTTTGCAACACCAGTATCCAAAGGTAAACTGAAAAATGCAAACGGTAACTTCAGCACTATTTTCTTACAGCAGCAGGTGGTGAGGAATTAGCACATATTAGGGGTCTGTCTTCCCACTGAACTTTCACAACAGACCCTTCAGATTGGCGTGGCAAGCCCTGTTTTACAGCTGAGGACACTGAGGCTTGGAGGGGTTGAGAAGAATGTGCTCCGGTTCCATGGCCTGTCCTGGGTGGCCCACGTGGGTGTGGACCCAGTCCTGCACACCTCTGCACGCTGCCTCCCGCTCAGCAATCCAGGAAGGGCCTCCCCACAAACTTCCTGGGGAACTCAGTATTTGTCCCACAGTAGGGATCCTCTGCCCTAAGCCTGGTTCCATTAGCTGGCCCCAAATACATATTCAACCCCTCCTTGCTGGACCCATCAAGACAGGCCTGGAGCCACCACTGCTGGCACGGGCACGGGCCTGGAGCCCAGCTATCTCCACGCATCCCTGAGGGCTCTTGCTTTGAGCACAGCAGCCTGAGGCCTAGCCACAGTTGGTGCCTGGCTTTGGTCTCTGCCGCCGTGGACTGGCAGCCCTCAGCACTGTGTCCCTCTCTGTGGACTGTCCCTCCTCCAGTCCTGCCCAGGGAACCCAACCCTGGCCCTACGACCCAGCTGGATTCCAAGAGGCCTACCATCGGCCAAAGCGGCCTCTGGGGTCCTGGATCTCCTTCAGCTATAAACATACTCATGTTTTGGGGGCCGGAGGAGGCACCCATTGGAACTGGGGAAAAGGATTGGGGGTTGGACTGGGTGAGAAATCAAAATCATTCTCCTCTAGTTTTGGGTGTCGCCACCAGGAGGGACCTCGCTGGTTGTCAGCTTGTGCACCTTAAACTATTTCTCTGTAGGATGAAGTTGCACTGTTTGGAAAACTAGTTCAAAGTTTTATAAGAAACACACCATTAGGTGATGATAACAGTAAAACAGAGCCTTGGGGACTGTGGTCTTTGTCCCACTTCCGGATACAGAGCTTCAGGATGGGGCTGGTCACCAGAAGGACCAAGCATACGATGAGGTGGGAACTTCCTCACCTTCCCACCTACCCCCAACCTCCAGGCACAGGAGAGGGCTGGAGACCGGGTTGTAAAAACTGTTTTAGGTTTGGAGATGAGCCTGGCTCTGTCACCCAGGCTGGCTGGAGTGCAGTAGCACAATCACAGCTCACTGAAGTCTCAAACTGCTGGGCTCCAGTGCTCCTCGCACCTCAGTCTCCCCAGTAGCTAGGACTACAGGTGTGCACTGCCACATCCAGCTAATTTTAAATTTTTTTGTAGAGACAGGGTCTCACTATCTTGCCCAGGCTCGTCTCAAACTCCTGGGTTCAAGCTGTCCTCCTGCCTCAGCCTCCCAAAGTGCTGGGATTACAAGCATCAGCCACCAGGCCAGGCCTACAAATTCTCGAACAATGAGATACAGAGAGCCTGGGTGCTGGTAGCACAGTGATGTGCTGGGAGGCCGTGTCCCTGAAGGTACGGAAGCTCTGCACCCCCGCTCCCCATACCCTGTCTTGTACATCTCTTCCGTGTGGCTATTCCTGAGTTGTACCCTTTGTAATATGCTGATCATCATAAGTACAACCATTTCCTGAGTGTTTCCAGTGAATTACCCAGCCTGAGAGAGGGGGTCCTGGGAACCCTGTGTTTGCAGTTATCCAGGAAGAACCGCAGCTGGCATGGGAAGTGGGGCAGTCTCATGGGGCTGGCCTTGACTCGTGGAGTCTGTGCTAATGCTGGGTAGTCAGTGGCAGGTGGAACTGACTGCTGGACACCAGTTAGTGTCAGAGAATTGGAGAATTCATTGTTTGAAAACAAATAAACAGGAAGCGTTCACCAGAGAGCGATGGTGCAGGAGAAAAAGAAACAATTCCAGTCCTGCCTCCCCTCCACTTGTCACTTTTCCTGTCTGGAACTCAGTTTCTCCTCTGTGCCACAGATGGGGAACAAAGTTGCTGGGTGGGGACCCCCAGCTGTTACACACTCTGCTGGGGCTTCCCAATGGGGCCTCAGGGCTCCTGTTCCAAAAACTATTTCTTGACTTTGATGCTCAAGAAGGGTCCTCAGAGGGAGGTTCTGGATCCTCCCAGATACTGAAAATGGAGCAAAGGCGAGACCAAGGAGGAGGCAGAGCCATGGAGGTCCTAGAGGTCCCCCAAGCCTTACCTGCTCCACACAGTCTGGGATCTCTGGCGCGCATGGCAGAGTCCCGGCGCTCTCCACCGATAGCACATCCTTCAGAAGCTCCTCGCACCCTGTGCAGAAAAGGGACGGTGAGAGGTTGAGCCTCAGCCTGGATGGCTGCTCTGCTTCTAACTAATGGGCATGGGGTGGGAAGGGCTGAGGTGGGGTCCCAAGGCTCCAGGAGGCCAGCTGAGCATTGGAAGGCAGGGATGGAGCCCAGGCAGTGGGGAACTCGGCTCAGGGCACTGTGCAGGGAGCTGCAAGAGGCCCTTGTCCTCTGGGACTAACTCCCACATGCAGAGGGCAGGCTGGGGACACAGGGAAGAAGGAGGCCTTCCTGGGGGACGGGACCGAAGGCAGTGCTGCCCGCTTGGCTCGCAGGGACTCCTGACAACTCTGCCAGCCTCTGGAGAAAGCAAACACACCCATTCCTCTGAGTTGGGTGCCCTCTGCGTCCTGCACACCCTGGGACATCCAGGACAGGGCCGCTCTAGGACAGCTCCAGTTCCTGCTGACTCTGCACACGGCTGGCCTCGCTCGTGAGTTCCCAACCAAATGCCCCAATGTTGTACTGAACACGGGAGGGGGACCCGACAAAACGCCTGGCACAGGCACATGGCAGGTGCAGCCTGCAGTGGCCCATTGTCAAATCCACGCAGAAAACCTCCCCTGGGTGCCTTCTGTGTTCTGTGCCCCCTGCACCGTGTATTCGTTTCCCTTCATCCCTCACCCTGCATCCTTTCACCCTCCCAGGGTTCACAGGCACCCCACAGAAAAGGGCTCACCTTGATCTGAGCCACAGACAGGAAACCATGGCTTCCTTTACAGATAACCAGACACCCTGGGACTCCAGAAGTGACTGCATTCTCTCTGCAGCTAGTGGGGAGGCCTTAGCAAGCCCACCTGGCTGGTGATCTATGCCACTGTCTCAGATTTTTTTCTTTTTTGAGACAGGGTCTTACTCCGTTACCCAGGCTGGAATGCAGTGGTGTGACGTCAGCTCACTGCAGCCTTGACTTCCTGGGCTCAGGTGATCCTCCCACCTCAGCCTCTCAGGTAGCTGGGACCACAGGCACACACCAGAATGCCCAGCTAATTTTTCTGTATTTTTTGTAGAGACGAGGTTTCGCCATGTTGGCCAGGCTGGTCTCAAACTCCTGGACTCAAGTGATCCACCTGAGATCAAGCGATCTGCCTGCCTCAGCCTCCCAAAGTGCTGGGATTACAGGTGTGAGCCACCGTGCCTGGCCTTCACTGTCTCAGATAAACAGCTTAGTAGTAAGTGAGTGGCCATATTCTGATTCCTGCAAGTTTCTCACAACTGGCCTTTGAAGTTTTGGGACAAGACAGAGGGATTTATAGTGTCCCCCTAGAGCTGGAAGGGGGAGCAAGTAAGAAAGGCAGGAATTAGGAAGAATTAAGAGGAAGAGAGGGCAGGGCATGGAGGCCTGTAATTCCAGCACTTTGGGAGGCTAAGGTGGGAGGGTCACTTGATCTCAGGGGTTCAAGACCAGGCTGGGCAATGTGACGAAACTCCATCTCTACTTAAAATACGAAAATTAGCCCGGTGTGGTGGTGTACCTCCTGTAGTCCCAGCTACTCAGGAGGCTGAGGCAGGAGGATTGCTTGAGCCCAGGAGGTTGAGGCTGCAGGGAGCCATGATAGTCGTACTGCGCTCCAGTAGCCTGGGTGACAAAGGCAGACCCTGTCTCAAAAAAAAAAAAAGGAGGTGGGAGCAGGGAGGACACAAAAGCAGCTCAGAGGGAGGCGGGCAGTCGGGTGACCAGCACTTTGTCCAGGTTTGCCCAGGAGACTCCTTGGGTTTGGTCATCCCAGAGCGGGAGACAGAGGAAGAGGACAGAAAAGCAAGGAGGGAGGCTTTCTCCAGAGGCAGGCAGACAAGGGGAAGGGCAGAAGTGACCTCCGTGGGTGAGACCACAGCCCCCACGGCTGGGACAACTGTGTCCTTCCCTCTGCCCCCCGGGAAGCCAGAGGCCGAACCGACTTCTGGCCCATCCTGGGCTCTGGGAGCCCTGTGGGGAGGAATCCAGGCTGGGTCCCAGCCACACCAGCTTCCCCAGCTGGGCAGGGCCTGAAGCACGTGGGAAAGCCTCCCCAGAAGGCCTCACCTTTCATGGCGAACACCCCCCGGCAAAAGTCCTTGAAGTTGATTCTCCCCAGGTCGTTGGGATCCAAATATTTCACAAGTTTTTCCACCTGTGGGAAGGAAGCAGGGACAGGTGTGAGACACCCAAGCATCACCCGAAGACTCAGGGAACTGGGACGGGGAGGCCGAGAGGGAGGGAGGGACACCAGTGTCCCCGCCCCATCCTCTCCCCTCACCCTGGGGTCAGTATCGGCCACGGGGCCACTTTATTCTCCCCATGGTGACAGACAACTTGGGCGAGGAAAAGCAGAGCCAACACCAGCTCCCCCGTGAGCGCACGGCTTCAGGGACCGAGCCTCCTTCCCCCGGGGGCTGCACACTGAAAGCCAAGGCTCTGCCAATGTTTTAAAATTGGTTTCTTTCATACAAAATGGACACAAACGCATTGTAAAAGACCTAGAAACCCCACCGTTTCTCTTGTTCTATTTCTTGTTCTAGGCGCTGGCTAGATGGGGAAACTCACTGAGATGGACACTGGTGGCTGATGTACTTTTCTGTTCTATTTGTACCTTGCACTTCAATAAAGAGTGTTAAATGAATAAGGAAGTAAGCTTTAGCCTGGCAGAGTCAGACATCCCTGAGGTTGGAGTTTCTCTCCCGTGTAATAGTAAGTAGGACAGAAACATGCTGCTTGGTGTGTACAACCCACATTGTTAGTGGCTGTAACATATTCTGCCCGGTGGGTTCATCATAATCTACTTCACCACCCCTAATAGCTGGGCATTTTGGTTATTTCCAGCTTTTTGCTTTTATAACTCATCTTTGGGGGTTCCTGCAGCTGTATGGATGAACCATCAACCCCCGGCCTCTCAGATTCTTGACTTTCTTATTGCCTCATATTCCACCTCAGGCACCAAGTCCCTTGGTCAACCCAGTCATCACCCCCTCCAATCCCACCCATCCGAATGTCCCACTCCCTGACCCCATCCTCCCTCCCTTCCTGCCACTGCAGGGTTCTTCAGCATCACTGGGTCTGCTCACTATCACTCACGTCCAATCTATGCCACCACTGTATCCCACAGCTCCCTATTTCCCACACCACCCCAGGGGCCCCACCTGGTCATAGCCATCATCCTCTCTCTCCTGGACCATGCAAGTCTAACTGGATCATGTCACCCACTCCTCTGCTTAAAACCTTCCAGTATCATTCCACCACACTTAGGATAAAAATCCAAAGCCCACAGCACAGCCCATGAGGCCCCATGCGATCTGACCCCTTCCACACCCTCTCTTCCCATACTCTTCATCACTCACTGTACTCCAGCCGTACTGGCCTTTGGTCAGCTCCTCAAGCAAACCACCACACTCTTCTCTGCCCCAGGGCCTTTGCACATGCTATTCTCTGTATCTTGCACAGCTGTCCTCCCCATTCATCATGTCAGTTCATCCTTCAGGTCTCCCTTTGTACCTGTATGAAACGTCCCTCCCCAAGACAGGTCTGTCCTGACCACCCGCATCGATTCAGGACCCACCCTGCTGCTATACTGTCTTGTAGCATCCTATACTTTCCCTTCAAACTATTTGTTGCAACTTGCTATTTATTGTTAACTAAAAAGAGATTGACATGGAGGGTTTATTTGGGAAACAAAGAATTGCAATTCTTTGTTTGGGGGAGGGGGCAGCTGCAATGCTGAGGAGGCTGGCAAAAAGTCACTTTCCTCCTTCACTGAAATTCTGCAGATCTTTCCTGAGAGTCCACTAGGTACCAGGTTCAGGGGGGTTCACAGAAAGAATGTGGCATGGCCCCGCTGCCCTTCCCTCATCCCAGACTCACACCAGAGTGGAAGGTACAAGGCATCAGGACAGCCCTGAAGAGCGTCCCAGGAGGCAAGTGGAGGAGAGAATTCTTCTTTTTTTTTTTTTTTTGAGACGAAGTCTCGCTCTGTCGCCCAAGCTGGAGTGCAGTGGCGCGACCTCAGCTCACTGCAACCTCCGCCTCCCAGGTTCAAGCAATTCTCCTGCCTCAGCCTCTCCTGAGTAGCTGGGATTACAGGCACCCGCCAACATGCCCAGATAATTTTTGTATTTTTAGTAGAGAGGGGGCTTCACTATGTTGGCCACGCTGGTCTCCAACTCCTGACCTCAGGTGATCCGCCCACCTCGGCCTCCCAAAGTACTTGGATTACAGACATGAACCACCGTACCCGGCCAGGAGAGGACTTTTTACGGAGGATTTCTACAGAAAGTTGTTTTCAGAGGCAGCTCATTGGCTGGGCAGAAATCCTAGATTGCAAAGCCTTTCTGACTGATGAGCTGGTTAGGGTACTCGCAGCTGAGAAATGCTGGAGGCTGGCAGATCACGACCTCGGTTGCGCATCCAAGTCTTTTGGGATATTGTGTGGCTGGAACTTTAGCAGGCGTGAGTATCTCCCGACCTCACTGCAGAAAGTCTTAGCCTTAGTTTCTCCATATTCTTTCATGTAGTTGTATGTGTGTGGGATAATTTGATTAATTTATATCTTCTCTCTACAAAGTAAGCTCTCTAAGGGCAAGCACCCTGTCAGTTCTGATCACCACTGTATACCTGGTCGCTTGCACCATGACTAGTACATAGTAGAGGCTTCATAATATTTGTTTTTGCTCACACCTACAATCCTCTCCAAGGTCAGGGCTCTGCCTTCAAGGCGGAGATTGCAGTGATCCAAGATCACGCCACTGCACTCCAGCCTGGGTGACAAGAGTGAAACTCCGTCTTGGAATAATAATAATAATAATAATATATTTTTAAGAGCCAGGTCCTCACACTATTGCCCAAGCTGGAGTGCAGTGGCATGATCATAGATCACTGCAGCCTCATATGCCTGGGCTCAAGGGATCCTCCCACCTTAGCCTCCCAAGTAGCCGGGACTACTGGCACGCCACCACGCCTGGCTCAGAAGCCTGCTTCTAAATCTAAAACTGCTTCTAAAACTTAGTGGCAGTCCTCCCACAGCACCCATACAAGCAGTCATTCATTCATTCATTCATTCATTTACTTATTCAACAAGTGATGACTGAGCACCTCTTACATGCCGGGCACTCTTTCAGGGGTTGATGGTGGTAGGTGCTGGTTCTGCTGGCTAGCCACACATACACAATAGTGCACACACATGTGTACATGCTCACATTCCTTGTCAGGCATCTTGCCGCTCCCCCTAATAATTACCATCAGTATCTATAGCACAGCCAGGCCAGGATGAGCTCTCTCCAGAATCTGCTCAGGCTGGGCTGCAGATGATGGATCTGAGGGCACCTGGGGCCTGCAGAGCACAGCATGCAGGAAACGGCTCACTGTCACTGTTGTCAGTGTTCACGCCGTTACAGGCAGACTCACCAGCACACCACACCGCCCATAACAGGCACCAAAGCCAAACCACGTTGGGGATTCATCTATTTATAGGGACCATGTTTTTCTTGCATGCCCACAGTGTGGCAGCTGCAGCAGGAGTCTGAAGCCCTGGTCACTGCCGGTGGCCTGGCACCATGGGGCTGTGCCCAGTGGGCTTTGGAAGGTGAGCAGTGGACAAAGAGGGCCCCACCCTAACCATCTTCTCCCTGCCTGGAACCTGGAAGCTCTGTGCTTGCATCTTGATTCCGGCTGACCCTGCTTTTCCACTCTGGTGTGAGTCTGGGATGAGGGAAGGGCAGCGGGGTCATGCCACGTTCTTTCCGTGAACCCCCCTGAACCTGGTACCTAGTGGGTTCTCAGGAAAGATCTGTAAAATTTCAGTGAAGGAGGAAAGTGGTTTTTTGCCAGCCTCCTCAGCATTGCAGCTGCCCCCTCCCCCAAGCCATGCCAGCCTCTGACACTGCCAGGCAATGATGTGACTTCTGAGAATAGCAATGCCCAGGTGCCACCTGTAGGGCTGCAGGGGAGCCCACCCACCATCCCAGCTGGCATTCTGCCTCCTCTCGTCCTGCCTTCACATCGCTGGCATTATAGGGGGTCTGTGAATGTGGGGATGGACCAGGGCACCCTCTACCCCCAGCCTCCTGTGCTCACACCTACAATCCTCTCCAAGGTCAGGGCTCTGCCTTCATTATTTCTGAAGCAAGTCAAGGGTGGAGTCGGCCACAGAGTGCTGCCTGACTGATGAGGACCCCCACCTCAAGTCCACCTAGGAGGCAGGAGTGCAGGGATTTGGATTCTGTAATCTCTGTGTCCACAACTCCCTGGGGCTGGGAGACACTGGCGGGTGAGTTGTCCATTCCTCTGCCAGCAAAAGCCTACCTGGACAGAGGTGGGGTGGGGTTGTTTGATGACAGGCAGATAGATGGGGTGCTGAGGGCCACTGCATGTTCCCCGGAGCACCCAAGCCATGGCCCAGGCTGTGACCTCTCTACAGCTGCTCTCACAGGGCTCTTCAAAGAGCTACAGCCCCAGAGTGGTGGCCACAAAAGTGCCAGACCAGCCGGGCACGGTGGCTCATGCCTGTTATCCCAGCACTTCAGGAGGCTGAGGTGGGTAGGTCACCGGAGGTCAGGAGTTCAAGACCAGCCTGGTCAACATGGAGAAACCCCCATCTCTACTTAAAATACAAAAATTAGCCAGGTGTGGTCATGTGTGCCTGTAATCCCAGCTACTCGGGGAGGCTGAGGCAGGAGAATCGTTTGAACTGGGGAGGTGGAGGTTGCAGTGAGCCGAGATTGTGCCACTGCACTTCAGTCTGGGTGACACGGCAAGATTCCATCTCAAAAAAAAAAAAAAAAAAAAAAGAGGCAAGGCACACTGATGTCTTGCCCTTTAGAAAACAGGTGTGAAATTGGGCCAGGGGCGGTGGCTTACACCTGTAATCCCAGCACTTTGGGAGGCTGAGGCGGGTGGATCACTTGAGCCCAGGAGATTGACACCGTCCTGGCCAACACGGTGAAACCCTGCCTCTACTAAAAATACAAAAAAAAATTATCCGGGCATGGTGGTGCACGCCTGTAGTCCCAGCTACTTGGGAGGCTGAGCAGGAGAATCACTTGAACCCGGAGGTAGAGGCTGTGGTGAGCTGAGATCGCACCATTGCACTCCAGCCTGGGCAACAAGAATGAAACTGTCTCAAAAGAAAAAAAAAAAAA